CACCTGCCTTGTAAGTGTAAGGTCCTGAGTTCAATCCCCAGTACCACAAAAAAAAAAAAGAAAGAAAGGAAAGAGTTGGCAATATAGCTCAGTGGTAGAGTGTCCTTGGGTTCATTCCTCAGTTCCACAAAAAAAAAAAAAAAAAATGAAGAATGGAAAAGAAAAGCCAATATATAAACTTTGTACTTAGGAAACAATTTTCTGTTCACAGTGGTCCTTGCTAAGTCACTCTTCATTTTAAAAATTCCTCCAAAGAGGAAAAAATGTTTTGGGGCATTGGAGTAGACAACGATTTTTTAGGTAAGACCTCAAAAACATGGGAAATAAAACACAAAAATAGACAAATGCAATCACAGCGAACTAAAAAGCTCCTGCACAGTTAAACAAGAAATACAATGAAGAGACAACCTAGAGAATAGGAGAAATATTTGCAAACTGTACATGTGACAAGATGTTAAATATCTAGAACATGTAAGGAATTCAACAAACTCAATAGCAAGAAGACAAATAACTTGATTTTTAAAATGAGCAGTAAACCCAAATACAATAGATATTTTTCAAAAGAAGACACTGAAATAGCCAACAAGTGTATGAAAAAGTGCTCAACCACTAATCATCACAGAAATGCAAATCAAAACCACTATGAGGTATCACTTCACTTCAGAACAAATGGCTATTCTTAAAAAAACAAAAGCTAGCAAGTGCTGGTAAGGATGTGCAGAAAAAGGGGACCTCAACCATTTTGGAAATGACTATGGAAGTTCCTCAAAAAATTAAAAGTAGAACTACCATATGATCCAACAACCCCATATGTATACAAAGGAAATGAAGTCCATATGTCAGATAGATATCTGTACTTGCATGTTCATTGCATCACTACCTACAATAGCCAAGAAATGGAAACAACCTAAGTATCCATCAACTGATGAATGGATAAAGACAGTGTGGTACATAATCACAACGGAATACTATTCAGCCATAACAAAGAATTGAATTTCATCATTTGCAACAACATAGATGGAACTGGGGATCATTATGCTAAGTGAAATAAGCCAGGAAAGTTACAGGGTCTCACACATATGTGAAATATAAAAATGTTGGTCTCACAGAAATTGAGAGGAGAAGGATGTTACCAGTGGCTGTGGAGAGTAAGAGAGGAAGAAGAGAGGGAGAGATTGATCAGTGGGTGGTGAGTTATAGTGAGATAGGCCGAAGACAGTCTGGTGTACTATTGCATGGCAGGGTGACTGTAGAGATCAGTAACCTGCTGTACATTTCAAAAAACTAGAAAAAAAGTTTCAATGTTTTTTACCATAAAGGAATGATAAATGTTTGAGGAGATATGTCTAACCTGAATTAATCATTACACAATATATACAAATGAGGAAAATAATCATGTAGTACCCCAATAATATGTAAATTTTTATGTATCAGTTAAATTTAAAAGAATATGAAGTTATGAAGCAAAAAATTTCCCCAGAATTTTCTACAATAATGAAAATCTATTGAAGTTAAAGTATGATTTCAAGTACAAATCTCCAACTTTTTTATGAATAGTTTATCACAAATATCCTGTCTAGAAAAGACCTTTTCCCCTATATTATGACATTCATAGACAGGATTTTGTGCATCTATGTGTGTGTGAGCATGTGATGTGTTCGTTTTGGAAAAGTTAGGACTGCTGAATCCTGCTTCAGATATACAGTCAAAAAACTGTAGATTCCATGGAAATCATTTTCTTGGAAAGAAAATGAATTATGACTTCATTTGACATGTGGCTTCTTCATCTCCAGTATACTCTTGGACCAGACTTCTGAAATCAAGACTAAAAGAGGGCCGGGGATTTAGCTGCGCCTGGCTCTCAAGTGCAAGGTCCTAAGTTGGATCCCCGGTGCTGCAAAAAAAACTGAAAGAGACAGACTACTCCATGGGATCATGCAGTTATCCTTTCCCCTCCTTTAGCCACCTCCAGTAACTGCATGTTCAGTGGTGTTGTTTAAAGTATTTTAGTGCACACTAGCTCCAGCTATTTTCCCCCAAAGTGTGTCCCACCAAAAGATTTGCTTCTCATCTGCCCAAGAGTACGTGTGCTCCAGATGTCTTTGAACTCTTGCTGTAGGATGTGGTGCCGATGATCCCAGATTGCCATGGATGTCCTAACAGTTTCCCTGCTAAAGGCACTCTGCTCTGCAAAAGCTGACCTCCACCCTGTACCTCCCCAATGCGGACAGCCCAATTTGCTCCTTGTCACTCTGGGCTGCCAATTCAGATCAGAGCAATGAAGGCACAGTTGGAGATGGCAGCCTTGTTTAACTTAGTGATAACTGTGTTTGTGTGTTTGTAGGATGACATTTCTCCTCGTATTTAGCAATGTTTCTACCACGTGCATCAAAATGGGACATGATTCTCCCAGGTGTATTTACACGAAGAGTCATTTTTCACTGAATTTTCCCAACACCTGGAACAACTTACAGTGAGGTTTTGCTGTCTGGTTGCAGATTCAGAAGATGGTCTTGCACAGAAGCAGCGGACACCTCGCCGACGATGTCAGCAGCCCAAAATGTTGAGTAGCCCTGAGGACACCATGTACTATAACCAGTTAAATGTGAGTTCAAAGTGGCCATAAAGCTGTTTCCTTGGCTTTGTTTCCAGTTAATAATTCTGTTATTAATACCTGTTCCAGCCCCTCCAGCCCCACCCCCACTCTCTTATGCTCTCTCGTGAACATGTGCTTAGGCTCTTTATCTGTTGCTTTCATGTCAGGATGTCTGCCTTCACGGTGAATAATTGATGTGGTTTATCAAAGACGAGCAAGATGCATGCTTCATCAGGCTCACTTGAGCCCTTTGATCAAAAAAATTATGCTGTGACTTCTGATATTATCAGCATCTGCTTGCATTCAACACAAAATCACTTTGAATTAAAAATTAACGACTTGCTGCTTTGCTTTGACTGTGTGTTCTTGGGCCTCTCCACAGGGAACTCTAGAATATCAAGGGAGCAAGAGGAAGCCAAGAAAACTTGGGTAAATATCTATCTTCTTAGTTCTAAGCAACTGTAAACAGAAGGGGTCCTTTGTGATATTACAGAAAATGCAAAACTTTCCAGAGAGGCTTCTAAAAATATTCAACCCAGATATTGCCACTGTTATTGACATTGGAAACTACTTTTCACAGTAGCAAGGATCCAAAACTTGAGTGTGTTCTGTCCAGAAAAGCTGACATTGTCACCTAAGGGTAAATGTTATTTCTCATAATTATTCTAGGGAAATTTACTTTCTTCGTAATTGAAGACATGTAGAAGGTTGTATAAAAATCTTCCGCAAATAACAGCATTCCATAAAGTGCAAATAGGCCATTTCCTCCACACTATGATACCCTGTGCCTAAAACATGCACAAAAGAAGACTTTCCCCAATGGTGAAAGAGGAGAGTAAAGATTTTGTGGCTCCTTTGATGGGTAGCATCTCAGTTGAGAATAGGAATGAAGTAGATAATTGGTACTAGTTTGAGAATTGGGGGAGGATAGGAAAGGAACTTTCTCATCTAGAGAAAGCCAGATAGAGACAGACAATTTAAGCACATAAATCAAGTTGCAACATAAATCAACAACCACAACTTCCAAACACTAGGAAAGTGGGCCCATTGTCACTGTTTGACCCACAAGCTAAAGGCTACGTAGATGAGACCCTACTACCTCTCTACTGGGAGGCCTTAAGCCCCGTAAGCTGTTCTTTCCTCCAGTCTTGGGACCCAACCCTCTTCCAGCGACTCACACAACTTTAGCTGTCTCTGTGATGTAACATTTGTTTCCTTTTTCTGTTGAAAATTGTCTTCTTTTCTTCATTGCAGCCAAATCAAAGTGCTGGATGGGGAAGATGAATATTACAAATCTCTCTCCCCTGTAGCCTGTCTCCCTGAGGAGGGCAACACAGCCCACCCTTTCTTTTTTAACTCGTCCTCAAAAGGAGATTCTTTTGCTCGACATTGAGTTATGCTTCCTGACCTCGAGTCTGTCCAAGGTGAGAACAATCGTGGTAACTGACTGATGGTCATTGAACAGGAAGGCACTATTACGCAGTCAGCATCTTTGGACTCATGGCCTGTGCCTGAGCCTTGCTAAACAATTTGCAGACCCTAGATACGGCTCCTATTTCTACCAGTCTCCCGCAACTGTTGTTTATCCTGGGGTGGGCAGTCTCTCCTTTTCTCATCTCATGAGTCCCCACTGAGAGATGCTGAGATGCCTCAACCCCAGTAATGACAGTCTCTCAGGCCCCAGATGTCTGAGAAAGTAGCAGACAATCTCATCTTAGACAATCATGAACACAGATAAGTTTTCTTTTATTACCTACCGAGTTACCTTTCAATCCATGCAGAATCTTCCCAGCAGAAAGCCAGGGGTCCCTTTCCGCTCCCTTCTCTACCCATTCCCTGGGCTGGGCTTGTACCTCCCACCTCGCCCAGGGCCTGGGCACCATTACTGAGCACACCCACCACTTTAGGAGTGAAAAGAAAGGAGTGAGAAGGAAAGAAAATTTGCATCTATGCAAGTCCAGGTCACATTATTCTGTAAGTCCATTCACTGGCAGCTGTCTCCACTAGTCTGTGACTGGCTGCCAGGGAAGGATTTGCTCTTGTCCATCTGTGTGTGCCCAGAACGTGGCCTGGCAGAGCAGGCATCCAGTACATGTAGGATGAGTGGAGAGATTTCATCTAGTTACACGGGTGCCTCAACAGGACAGTGACTTCCAGTTATACATGAATAATTTTTTTCTGATTTTTCATTCTAGGTTGATCTGGTCCTATTGTAATGATATTACATAGTATTCAATATGATCCAATACAACAAGCTTTTTTGAGCACCTATTCTATGTAAAACAATATCGTGTGACATAAAACTTTAAAAATCTTGTAAGAATCTTTCTTTAGAACATTTTTTGTACTCTAAAATATTTAGCAGATAGTATGCATGGAAATACCTTTAAGGAAGGTATTTCTAAGAAAAATAACATTAAGCATATAGAAAAAATATCTTTTACAGAGTTTTGAAAGAGAAGGCATTAATAAGCATTTTATGAACCGAATGGTAAAGTAAGATAAAGAGCTCAGGGATTACAATTTTATCAGAAAAAAGTAACTGTAGCCAATTTTTAAATAAGCTACATGAATCTTTTAAAAAAGATGAATCTTGGGTTTTTTTTCCAGATATGCACTCAGAAGTAATGTTTTTAAAGTAAGAGCAAGAGTGCAAGAGAAACAAACAAAAAACTTTACGTTATTGGTCAAGAAATAGCTCTAGGTCCACCTCACGCTGGAGATGTAGCTCAGTGGTAGAGTGTTTGCCTACCATGTATGAGGCCCTGGATTTCATCACCAGAAATACAGCAAAGAAAGAAAGGTGGGGTAGTGAGGCAGGTGTGTGTGCTACCCTAAAATATATAAATTTTAAATCAATGTTATGAATATATGAGTCCTTACGGAAATTTCACTTTTATCATTGATTAGTCTACTTTTAATATTAGCTGCTTTTCAAACTATTGAATAGGGATGTTCATAACTTCCTGTACAATGTGATTATAAACCTGCCTTTCTGATAAAATGTATTCATAAATAAAGTTAAAAGGGAAATAGAAGTAATTATAAAATCACAGTTGAGAAGTTCTATAATAATTAGTCAGTGAAAGGGCTCTAACTCCCGACGGTACATTTGAAATAGTGGTCACTGTCAGCGCAGCATAGACAAGGCAGACTGTAGGCATTATTCTTGGGCTATTCATAACACCACAAACTCAAAAAGCAATTCTTGGGGCCGGGGATTTAGCTCAGTGGTTCTGGTGCCTGCCTTGCAAGCACAAGGACCCAAGTTCGATCCCCAGTACCAAAAAAAAAGCAATTCTTCGCTGGGCATGTGGCTCACACCTATAATTCCAGCTACTGGGGAGACTGAGGCAGATGGATCACAATTTCAGAGACAGCTTGGACAATTTAGTGAGACCCTGCCTCAAATTTTTAAAAAATTTTTCTTTGGGCCAAGGATTTAGCTCAGTGGTTCCACCACCTGCCTTGCAAGTGCAAGGACCCAGGTTCGATCCCTGGTACCAAAAAAAATTTTTTTTCTTTAAAAAGGGCCGGGGGTATAGATCAGTAATAGAACATTTGCCTACTTTGTGTGAGGCCCTGGGTTCAATGCCTAGTACCACACACAAAAAGAAAAGATTCTTAAATTGAGTGCATTAGAATGATACAACCTGAGCTCTCATGTCTTACTAGATTTATCAAAATAATATGCACATGGCAAAAATCCGAAAGTCCACAGGGTTGATAGTGGACAACAGCCTTCTCCTCTATGCCTTCACACCAGAAGCAACCATTTTAAAAAATTATTTTCAATTCTAATTCTAACACTTTCCATCATATCTCTGAATACACGAGCCACACAATGATATTCTGATCAACTTGACTGACACACACTACACAAAACAGCAGGTGACATCATAGAGCCTTAGGGTGCAGGAAGCGCCATTTGTGTAAGTGCCCTCACTGATGTTCATACAACCAAATCAACTAATGATGCTTTTCTCAGAACATACTCCATCCTTGAGTGACATATGACAAATTTGCTTCTACCTTCTTGCTTCACTGTATTAGATAACAATCATTCTCCATCTTATAAAAAATATAGATGTATTTCAGTCCCTCTCCCCTCCTTCCTGCTCCCAGTACTTACAAATTTTGTTTAAGCTGTTCTTGACTACCTTTAAAATTTAAACTTTTGTAATTAAAAATGTTGTTTTTTGTGCTGCTGACTTTCAACAGTCTCTGTGAGGCTATCTCATGCAAAGAAAACCAGCAGGGTGCAAGGTCATGTCAGGACAAACATCATTCTGAGACTAGGATGTTTTTAAAGAAACTTCATTGAACACTCTTGGTGTTCATATTCTGAGCTGCTGCTTCTTTCTTCTTGACTCATGGACAGATGTGGTTCCATGCACTTTTTCTAACTTTCTTTTTAGAATATAGTACATACACAAAAAAGCGCATAAGTGAGAAGATTCAGTCCAATAAATTGTCACAACTTGAGCTTCTGTGTTACCACCCCTCCAGTCTAGGAGAGCATCATCAGCCCCTGGCAGGGTTTGTATGTGGTATGTTCCCCAAGGCCAACTATAAAAGTGGGGGCTTGGTCCTCTGTGAAGCAATGTTCAGAGTTGGGGCTTTGGGAAAGTGACTGGATCATGAAACTTCTACCTTCATCAATGGATTAAAACATTGATGGACTGGAGATTTAGCTCAGTGGCACTGCGCCTGCCTCGAAAATGCAAAGTCCTGCATTTGATCCTTGGTACTGAAAAAAAAATTGATGAGTTCATAGCTCAGTGGGTTTCTTAGGAGGTGAGGCCTAACTGGATGAAGCAAATCACTCCAGGCAGGGTTTTGAAGAGGATATTTTGTACCCAGCTCCTTTCACTCTGGCTTTCTCACTCTCTCTGCTTCCTGACTGCCACAAGGTGGGCAGCTTTCCCCTACCATGCCCTTCTGTCGTGGTGCTTTGCCTCACCACAGGCCCAGAAGGAATGGAGTGCGGTGACCATGGACTGAAATCTCTGAAACCATGAGCCCAAACTACCCTTTCCTCTTTTCATTTGTCAGCTGTTTAGTCACAATGATGAAAAGCTTAGAAGTCTCCCTGTTCTCTCTTCCCAATCATTGCTTCCCTTACAATGTCCCCAAAATAAACATTCTTATGACTTTATTGTAAACACTTCCTCAATTTTCTTACAGACATCCCTAAATACTATAGTTAAGTTTTACCTTTTATAGTTAGATTTGGGGAACTTTGTATAAGTGTGCAGAGAGTAATTTGTTAAGTCTTGTTTTATTCAGTGTTCTACTGGTGAGATTCATCTGGGTGTAGAATGTACATTCAGCTCATTCATTTCCATGACTGTGTAGTATTATAGTATATGAATGTGACAGTTGACTTAGCGCTCTACTTGTAACAAAGAAATATGAATTGTTTCCGATTTACGGCTATTTTGGAAGTTGTTACAGTGAATATTATCATATATGTCTCTTGGTATCTATTTGCATACTTCTCTGTTAGCTATAGCCCTAGCATTAGTCTTGTACAGTCATAATGTATACATTTCTTCACCTCAGTAGTTAATGCCAAATTGTTTTCCAAAGTAGTTGTACCAATTTACAATCCCACTAGAGATGCAATAGTGCTCCCATTTTCTGCATTCTCACCATCTCACCAACTCTTGCTGTTATCACTCCTTTACATAGAGTCATATTGATGGATGTGTAATAAAATCTCATTGTGATAGATATACACACACACACACACACACATATAGCCCTCATTACTTATGATACTGAGCACATTTTATATGTTGTGGTAACATTTTAGATAACTTCATTTGTGACTTGCCCATTTTTAATTAGGTTAACTATTTTTTAATTTGGAGAAATATATATTGTCAGTTATATGTATTAAAAATACTTTCCCCAATAGATGGCTAGTCCTTTTATACTCTCAAATTGTCTTTGGTTTTTTTTAAAAAGTGAAATTTAACATAATATAATTTATCAACTCTTTTTTTGGTACCGGGGATTGAACTCAGGACCTTGCTCTTGGGAGGCAGGCATGGTGCCACTGAGCTAAATCCCTGCCCCAATCTTTTACTTTTTTGACTAGAGATTTTTATGGCTTGTTAAGCAATGTTTCCTTATCCCAAGATCACAAAAATATTTACCTTTAGAATCTTCTAGCAGTGTTATTTTTTGCTATTCTCATTTAGATCTTCAGCCTACCCAGAATGGATTTTCTGAATGTTGTGTGGTAAGGGTCAAGCTTCATGTTTCCTGTAGAGAAATTCAACTATCTCAGTCCCATTTACAGAAAAGATCATTCTTTTCCTACAGCTCCTTATTCTATTCCATGGCTCTATTTCTTGTTTGTCTTTATGTTAAATACTGTACCTTTATAAGGGGGCTTAATATATGTCAGAGCAAGTTCTCCATCTTTATTCTTCTTCTCTAAGAGAAACTTCATTAGGCTGGGCACTGTGCATATTACAGAATCAAATAGTCAACTTCTACGAAAAAGGCTACATAGATTTCTGGGTCTGTAAGTCGCTTTGGAAGGAAGTGTTATCTTTACACTATTGACACTTTTAATCAATGAATATGG